TTATACATATATAATGTAAAATTTCTAAAAACAAATTGTATTACGTGTACTAAGGAAATAAGAATGGAAATTAGGTTCATTACATAATTTTTATTGGTATTACTTCGCAAACCCTCGCCGACTTTTACATTTTGTAAGAAGCCTTTGAGTTGATTAAAAATGTTACAACCGCTCTCAATCCTAATCATCCTAATCAATTTTCTGACGTCATCCGGAATATTATGGTTTTCGATTTACCAAACAATAAAAAAATCGATTCAATAATGTTATGTGGGATATGTCCCATTTATTATCTGCTATGCATAAATTAACATTTTAAATTATACTTTTTTCAACATTCTTAAGTAGTATGTAATAATATGCATATCTTATTTTATTCGTACTAATAATATTTTGGTTAAAGTAATAATTAAACAAATGGTAAAGTTAAAAATTTTGTACAATCGACTTCAATACGACCGAACGTTCACAGACTGCAGACCTCCCGAGATCTATAAAAACCCGCGTGAAGGAACATATTATAGCTAACGTAAATCACTGACGCTCCGGGAAGGCTGCAGTCTGTGAACATGATCAAGATCGTCCCCACCATTACATCAAATTTGATAAACCGCAAATCCTCGCAAAAGAACACCGATTCCTACCAAGGATGATATGCGAGGCTATTGAAATTAAAAAAAAAACATCCTATTTCAATAGAGGAGATGGATGGGTGCTGCCATCTCCTTGAGATCCTATAATTAACAAAATTAAACCCAAACCTAAGAATACCACTGCAAGACTTTACCTCGTTCTGAGTAGATCGGCCCAAAAATTAATATTCAAAAACTGAATGTATCCGGGCTATGACACTGGGACGTCAAACATCTCAATCCCCCGTGACCATGGGTGCTGTAAAGCACCCGAAACGTCGGGAATTAAAATAAGTAAATAAAACGCGATAAAATCTGTATATCTAGTTTTATTCAATACTAAGATTGAATAAACACACCGAAATTTTAATAAAAATGTTTAAATGAATTAAAATGTCATTTATTCAAATACGAAATTATTATCGTTAATAATATTAAATATATTAGACTCATAATACACTGACACAGACAATAACCACAAAATAACTTTATTATGCTTCAAATAAATAATGTTGTCATCCCTACAGAGATAATTTTAGTTTGCCTCTGGCTACAATAATAATCGATGTGTATTCTTTGGCTTTCTCTCATGTTATGCTCGTGATTATAGTTGTAAATGTTTAATTACTATTCTGGTTTCAACAAATAATACTTTAATAAAACAGGGGTATTAAATGAAACTAATCTTTACGCATTTTATTGCCTTTAATTTAACATTTTAATTCATCAGTTTTCATTTCATTTTATTTCATGACATTCGTTAAATAAATGTTTTTTTTTTCAATCCGTGGACCTGCAATACGAAATAAACCATTAACATTATCCTCTTCATCATCAGCCCGAAAAGTACAGCGTTCAATAGGCCTTCAATTCAGTTCACTTGCCTTTGTGGTCATATTAGTGGGCGAGACAATGTGAACGTTTCGATCGTAGAGCTTTCGCAACTTAGACTCTGCTGCCCATAGGTTATTTATTATATATGCTGCCCGTACCAGGTGTGGATATTTGGTGTCTAGTGTAAGCAAGAGAGTTATACCGACATCTAGGTCGTCATAAAATTTGCTGGCATTTTCTATAGTCGCTGCGAACCTACGACTATTGATACGAGGATACATGTGTAAATAACTGAACATCAAGACGTTTACGTGTTAGAGCCATGCGGCAGTTATTGTTGTAACAGGAATGGGTCTGCTCGACCGGGGAAGAACCACGCTCTCACAGAATATCAGCGTAAAGTAGCAGCTTAACGCTACTGTTATTGATTGTTATTGATTGATGTTATTGCTACTGGAAATGAGGCATTCCATCTCAGTCGTTGGGGGTGACAACGTATCTGCATTTTGATTTGTAATGGGGATAGATGCAGATGTCTGTGGGCTCAGCGATCACCTACTATCAGGTAGTCTGTGAGCTCGTTTGTAACCCAACCCTAAAAAAAATGAAGACCAAAATTATAACACGCTTATAATTAAAAACAAAAACAATTGCTTAAAATATACGCGAAACTGAAAGTTAAAACTTAACTTATAAAATTAAGAAATTTTATTAAGCAACATTTTGCACAGTGTGCATTACTTTTTCAGTTACAAAGTCTGGGTAAGTATATGCAACAAAACTTCTCTACCGTAATAAATTTCCGCTAGAAAAAAAAGTAATGACCCAATGTTCCTGGTAAGCAAAATAGTTTCACGCGATTTAAAAAGTAAAAGAAAACGGTAATGACGACATTTTCCTATTCAAAAAAGAACGAAAAAAACTGGTTCTAAACGACGATACTCCACACACTCACGGGTCTAACAATGCAAAATTGCTCTACACGAATGAGAGAATCACCTGCCATTATACCCGCTTCCTTACAATACCTTCGGCGATTAGAACGCTTCTTAAATCCGAACAATTCACAATTGAATAAAACGGGATGACTTTTACAAGACTTTTTATTCAAAAAATTCCTTGGTTTTATAATTAATCATTGAAAATAGAATTTTTCCTTTTAGCATTAACAAAACCTTCTTTTTATGTTGCTATTTTATAGTTAAATATAGTACAAATATAGCACAATACGATTTATTCGAAGCAAAATACACCGTTCATTTATAAACAAACTATATACAATCGGTAAAACAACTTGGATATAATAATTAAGGGAAGTGCCACACTGATATGGTACTGGTAAATGTAAATAGAAACTAATTAAACTTGTATAAAATAAGCAGATTAAACAGAAATTTTTGTTAAATTTAACACAAGTTTACTGTGGCTGTCGCGAAAATTAGCATAAAATTCATTTATGCTAAGTTTGTTTGCGGACAAAGATATAAAGTATTCATTTTGGCAAAATTTATTATTTGTAATAACAACACTCATGTTTTTTTGAATTGAATGATTTGCACCGAAATAAATTATTTGGGTAATATTTTCACATAAATATATTTTATTTGCTACTCTTTGAATATAATTAGTAAACTTCATAATGTTATCGAAATTTTTCTTATTATTCATTGTTTATAAATAATTCTTAAACAGTAACTTGACATTCATTTTGAATTAATAGATATTTAATATTTATTCTGGCAAAAGTTAAAATATTCCTGTTGCATGCACCTGTTGACACAGTACTAATTATGTATTTATAATATTAATGATTTATTATATTATTTTCACCCGTAATTCTAAGTATTAATATTTTTTTAAAAGTAATTTATAGAAGCTTGGTTAAATAAACTTCCAATATTTCAAACACAACAACTATATAATACGTTTACTATTAAATATTGATATTTTCTGATTTTTTCTTAAAAATTTGTTGTTTCTTAAAAACCTTTCCACTATAAAATGTAATTCTAATAATTTATTATAAATGAACAATTTATCAAATTAAAAGCAAATAAAGGCAAATATAATTCTGATAGTAAGTCCTTTTGAGGATTTACCATACTCTTACATATTTATGCCTGAACTGCCATATTCAGTTCGGGTATTTTACAGTAACTAACAAGGCGCGCGGCGTCTGGTATACTACGATACACTATATACTGCATAATATCTTATCCCTTCATATACTGAATTGATTTATGTCCATTATGAACTGTGACTAGCTGATACACATGATAAAGAAGAGAAGAATCATCATATATTTTTTACGATACAGCCCCAACGATACAGGAGAAAATCCTAGTGTAGGGGTAACGTTTTATTAATACATATACATATATATATATATATATATATATATATATATATATATATATATATATATATATATATATCTTTTACGTGGTACAGCCATGCTGCAGTTATATTAGTCGTATAGTTGTAGCACGAATGAGTCGGCTCGACCGGGGAAGGACCTCGCTCTTGCAGAATACTAGCGTAAAATAGTAGCTTAATGCTGCTGTGTTTCGTATAGTGAGTGTAGAGAACCGGAGACCCTCTTTACTGAAAATGAGGCATTCCATCTTAGTCCTCACGGGTGACAACGCATCTGCATTTTGATTCGTAATCGAAGATGTCTATGGGCCACAGCAATCGCTTACCATTAGGTGGACTGTGTGCTCGTTTGTCACCCTATCCTATAAAAAAATATAACCTACTACTATGTACTAATATGTTCTAGAGGTAAATGTTTTTTTGATTAAAAACATGTAAACCAAACCCACCTACTCATTATATTACACAATTTATATGATATAAAAGTTTGTCGCGAAATTGTAATTTATTGAATTGATGGGTTTAATTTAAAGTTTAATTCCTTCTTGTTAGAGTGCAAATCCTCTTAAAGCTTATTTTTTAATGTTTCTTTTGTTTTTGATTATTATTTATTAAATTATTGTTATTGTTAAAATTAATGAAATACTAAAATCGATTATAATCCTTTACAAACAATGTTTGGATTTAATTAACTGAAATAAATTAATTTAATTTAATTAAGATAATTACACATACCTTTTAAATATACCAATATAAATATTAATTGTACTGTAATTGGATAGATAATAAAATTGATTTTACATATTACGCATATATTTTAATTAATAAAACTGCATCGCAACCCGCAAAATTATCCGTGCATTATTCAGTAAAAAACACCTTATCGCACACAAACACAGTGAGTCATCAGACTATTTCAGCAAGATTACTATTTATTTAACTACGTAAATTTTACCCGACTGCGAACCCAAAAGAAAAGTATATTCGTTATACGTACTGCCTCTAACTGCTAAACTAGTACTCGAATTTTGAAAAACAAATCTCACTCGATTTATCATAATTGTGCGGATAGATAGTATTACAAAAAGTTGTTTATAATTATTGTCAAAAGCCTACTACCTAACTAACTAACCTAGCCTTGACTTTTCTGACACGACGATGAATGAGCATGCAAGTTCTGATGAGGACCCAGATGTACCACCTGACTTGGAAAATGAAGTTCAATCTACCAGCACCCTGGTAACAACATCCACCAATACTCAGATCATTAGTACTGTAATGGATCCAAGTCTGGCCTCCGCTTCTACTAGTGCTAGTTCTGCAGCAGCTTCAAGGATATCTAATCGTGTGCCTAAGACTAATATCACGTGGAAAACGAAAACCCTGAACATAAATGAAGACCAACTACGTTTTCTTGGACCTGAGAAGTTACCCCCAGAAATACTTTGCTTAGATACTCCATTTGAGGTATTTTCGTATCTGTTTACTGAAGAAATTATCAATTTTATAAGAGACCAGACTAATATATACCCTGTTCAGAAAGATGCTAATAAACCAGTAAATGCTACTAGTCAAGAAATACGTCAATTCATTTGAATCGTATATTACATGTCAATAGTTCGAATGCCAAATGTAAAATTGTATTGGTCTCAAAACATTAGATTTGCTCCGGTACAAGAGACAATGTCGTCGAAACGATTCGAATTACTTATTTACAGTTATTACACTTCAATGACAATAGTAAAATGCTTCCATATGACCATGTTGATTCTGATCGTTTATATAAGATCCGGCCATTGATAGAGGCTCTCAACCAGAATTTCAAATAAGTTCCATTTGAAGCGCATTTATCTGTAGATGAACAATCAAATGTGTTCAACAAAAAAACTCGAAGTGTGTTGAAACAATATTTACCAGACAAACCCCATAAATGGGGATTCAAACTGTTTGTTATATGTGGAGTATCTGGGTATGGGTACAAATTTGAAGTATATAGTGGACAGGAAAACAGATGCGCGGCCAACGAGCCTGACTTAGGGGCATCATCTAATGTGGTAGTCCGCCTTGCCCGTGAAGTGCCTATCAATCAGAACTACCGGCTGTTTTCGATAATTACTACACCTAGATTATTGAATACTTGTCTAGTTGCGGCATTTTGGCTTTAGGGACTATAAGAAAAAACCGTATTTCAAACTGCAAGCTGCCAGATGAAAAAAAATTAAAAAAGAACCGCGTGGTACGTCAATAGAACAGGTCGGTAACTGCAATGGAGTTGAGGTAGCTGTAGTTGCTTGGAGAGATAACAAAATCGTCACTCTAGCAACCAATTTTGCTGGAAAGCACCTAACATCTGTAGTAAGAAGGTGGGACAAGTCGAGAAAATAATACATTTCTGTTGAACGTCCTTATGTCATCGCAGAATATAATCGACATATGGGTGGTGTTGACCTTTTAGACTGTGTCATGGGCCACTACAAAATTAAACTCCGTTGTAAACGCTGGTCTCTTCGAATTTTTTATCATTTTTTAGATATGGATATGGGATATGTGTAATTCATGGCTTTTATATCGAAGAATAAATGCAGAAAAGGGTAGTATCAGTAAAACCCTCAATTCTGCTGAATTCAGAGTAGCCATAGCAGAGACGTTATGCAAAAATAAGACAATCAACCATAAAAAGCGAGGAAGTTATGTTGAATGTCTCATTCAAAATAGAAAGAAGAAAGGTCCGGCTCAACACGTTCCTCCGAAAGATGTGAGGTTGGACCAATACGGGCACTGGCCAGTTTGGCTGGACAAACGAATGAGGTGCAAATTTCCGGACTCAAGGGGTTTACACAAACAAGCTGCGAAAAATGTGGTATTAATTTATGTTATAATAAGCAAAATAACTGCTTTAAAAAAATTCATATTTCCTAACTTTAAGTTTTTTTTGCATACTTGATGTAATGTTGCATTTCTACAACAGATAGTTTTTTTGGAATAATAAATACTTAATTTTTAATAACTTTTTTTTTAATTATTATTTCCGTTAATCCTATTTACCACCTAGTATTTATATCGTAAAACTATTTTTTTATTTTTCTTAAGAATATATTATGTATAATCTGTGGAAAGAGAGAAGAATTCATCTCCCTATTTCGCCCCATGAGTATCTTTAGGAATTGCCAGAAATATCTTAAGGCTCCGATAGATGGCGGTAAAACGTTCCATAAAGACGGATTGAAGCAGCGTCGTCAAGTTCTGCAATCGTCTTTTTACCTTCCAAGCGTGACGATTAAGACAAGTCATCTCTATATTTGAAGAAGGTCATATCCACCCGTAGACAGTTACGGTGGAATGAAGAAAAAGGAGAAGAATAGTAACAGGTGAAGTTTTTATTACAAATGTTCAGTTTCCTACGACAAGACCATACGGGACGCTCTCAATTTTTCACTCTATTCACGACGATGACTTGACAGGTTTAACAAAAAGTTTATCATTCAATTTAGCGAGGCCTTTCTACAATCTGTGCCATTAAATCCGATAGAAACGAACCGTTCCTTTCCTCCATCAGGCTGTCACTTCAATTCAAATAATATCCGTTCGCGGACCTATTCGATGTCACGATTCGTATATCAAAAAGGTTTAGATATAATGCATCATACTTTTTTGTAGAAAATATGTTAGTGCTGGATTGGACTGGACTTAATTTTTTTTATATATTCCCGTTGCTATTGAAAATGTATTCACATCAAACCAAAAATGGATTGAAGAAAAAGGACGTATAGAAAATTACGTAACTACTATATTTGCTTTTGGGTATTTATTGATTTTATTAACACACTAATATTTCATTCTGTCGCCATACCGCCTTTACAAAATGTAGTTTATTGATAGTTTCTTATTTAAACTATAGTTTAAGAAGAGTCTTTTTTTTTTGGAAGAAGCCACCACAGTTCCCGCGAAATTTGACATTAGCTGTCAAATTCCATACTTAACATTTTGGTCCGTATATTTTCGCCACGCGATTTCTGTATTGAAACATATTCTCGTTTGAACCTGAGACTAATTATTAACAACTTTTTGAAGATTAATGTTTCAAAATTCGACTACCAGTGTAGCAGTTGGAGGCAGTATTTATAACGGATATACTTTTCTTTTGAGTTCGTTGAAAAATAGTAAAAAGAACAGTAATCATGCTGAAATAGTGTTACGACTCACTGTGTTTGTGTGCGATTAGGTATTTTTACTGAATTGTGCACGTAATTTAAATAAAAACATAATTGTGCGCATTGCGCTGCAGTATTATTTATTAAAATTTGTTTATATTTATTTTATCAATGAGTGTGGTATATACATAAAGTATCAGATATGTATGTGAGTACAATAATATATCTGTTAAATCATTTCATTATCGATTCAATTACTTTTTCATATTGGTATATTTAAAAGATATATGTAATTAAATAAATTAAATTAATTTATTTCCGATAGTTAAATCCGTAGTTTGTAAAAGGCCTATTATCTATGGTAGTCATCGAGTTACATGTACTACGTACTAGAGAAGCTATTCGAAACAAAAAATGGGCACTACTCTGAATCCCCACATGCGCGGGAAACAGTAGGGAGGTTTTGGCGGGAACTTGTCCGACTGTTGCTAGTGTTTTGTCGCTTTAATAATGGTTTGAAGTGGATTTTAATTCGTAAAAATGATGTGATATTGTGAATTAAGTGTCTGCGCGTGTAAACTATTAGAGAAAACAACGAAACAAGTGCTTTGATGTCGATATAAACCCATTGAAGTATAATGTACTTACGTACTAGAACAGCTATTTCAAACAAAAACTGTGCGCTACTCTATGTCGTTGCGTATGGGCGGTAAGAAGTCGTGACGCGCATGCGCGGTTTTTTGTCATCATAGATTAGTTAGGTAGAATGATCAGTATGTAATTAATAATTATTGTTTATTTAAATTACATAAATTTTAATTAATTTATTAAAACGAGTTAAAATTTAAATAATTTGTCAATTATTTTGAATATTAAGAGGTAAATTAATACGATAATAAATAATATTATAACAATTGCTATACATTTTTATATGAATATTTTAAAAGATAACTATATAAAATGAAAGGAATCGAAGCAAATGAAATATATTTATTTAAATCACTTATTTGTTTTCTTTTTGCTGAAAATTAATTTCAATTATTAAATTTATAAATGTTTTGGTAAAAAATAAAAAATAAACTTTATTAAGTGCCTTTAAACAATATGAGTTTAGTTAATTTTTGCCGTTTAGATAAATATTCTTTATCTTGATCAGTTTTTGCTTCGTGTTTTAAACGAATATTTGTGTATTTATTTATGATAACCCGAATCTAGTGAACCCTGTGATTGAAAGTACTTGGCTGATTAAATGAATGTTGAATTAAGGATGTAAATACCTCTTTTTCAATGAAAAATTCTAAAGTTTTAACAATAATGAAATTGAAGTTATATTTTATTCTTTGTCTTATAAGTTTTCGTATCACGGTTTCCGTGGTCAAACATATTTTATACACATCGCCAGTAGAGTAGCATAAGCCACCCATATCTTTGATGGTTATCAATTTGTGGAGTGGCAGCTTTTCTGTCGTGATTAAGCTATTTACGCATTCTTCGCATTTTAATAATTTTGTTAAAATTCTGGCTCAATTGGGAACTACTCGTAACATGTTCATTATTTAGTGTCTCAGCAAATATGTTACAATTATTTTCGGCTTCAATATCAGAATTCAGTATACAGGTAGATGTTAAAACTTCATATTGTTGGTCATCATGTCTATTAAGGGGTGTTGTGCTGTTAATTATGTCAGTAGAAGAACATTGTAAAATAGTGAAATTGTCCATTGGAATACAATTACCAGTAAATGATGATCGGAGTTCCAAGTGATTTAGAGTTTTTTTGTACGCAGCCCGGAATTGCAAAACATTAGGATTATTATTGTATCCACCGTGTTTTCTTATATTTCCAAAAAATAACTCCAAATGATCTTGACTGAGGCGGTAAGTGGAAATAAATTTGACAGACTGTTTTTCTTCAACTAGATGTTTGTGAAGTGTTTTTAGAGATTCTATGCAGATAAATGCGCCAACGAACCCCGTTTTATTTGGTGACTCTACAATTTTCGTTTTTGCTATCGATAATTTTATTTGAAGTTCAAAATTTTTTCTTTTTATAACTTCTAGATTTTACATGAGATTTCAGTTTCAGTATATAATCCTTAACTATTTAAAATGAAAATATGTAGTGTTACATTCATCTAATGGACGTTTAAATCCATAAAAATTGGCACTTTCTCGAGTTCATTGTATCAAAGAAATTGTTCAATATAGTTATAAAATTTACAGTTGCTGACGAATCCAGAAACCGCGTTGACTTTAATACTTCATCACAAAGAACCAGTGCTTTTGCCACACTCGTGCTCAATAATTGCGTAGCTAGTTTAACTTTCATAACTTGGTTTCTAAAATGGATGTGACGCGGTGTTAGTTTGTTACCAAATCTGAGACCCTCATTTTGTTGAAGTTTATTCAGATTCATAAGCAATTCCCATCTCACTTTTATGCCAT